CTATCCTCATTAATGTTGGATCAACCATACAAGTCATTTCCATAGAACTATGGTTTCTACAACCATAGTGTACGCATGGGCGAAAAATAACATTACTATTTTGTTGGGGCAACTATATTTCCTGAAGTGATATCCATAGTGTTTTCTCCGTGTACGTGCAAAATATTGAAAAATAGCGCGAATATCGTAATTGTAACTCAAAAATTGAATTTGATTAACTTGTACATACAAATATTATGAAAACTTTTATCTAACTTATATAGACTTTATACGTTATAACATATTATTAAAATTTACCTTAAGTTTTGTGATTTCAAAAGCGCTTTTAAGCATCTCGTAATTTTATGTTTGAAACGAAGAGAAACGTACATACGGATATAGTTGTTCTCATTCACATAAATTTAAATAAAGAACCATGTCCTAGATTAGGCCATGTTGCGCACACTAACGATCTATATGCCAGTGAATAGTGCTATACGGACACAATAACAAAAAATAAAATTGACGTCTAAGGTCGTATACGGAAATACAGCAGGAAATCAAAATTAAAGTCATATTGTATTGTCATATTCATTATCAGAGCTATCAAACCTAGTGAAAATCTCTTTTATGTTCAGATGGTGCTTTAATGTGTTTTTTTGGGATTTTGTGCATATCCTAGATATCATATTATTGTTACAATATGCGTACAGCATCCTACAGTACATACTTCATTTTTGAGAAGTGTACGCAAAACAAATACAGGTCTTGAACACATTTAGAATTATTATTTGAGATGATACTGTCAATAAAAAAGAAATCAGATTTCGCAAACTACGCTTCAATTCGATATACATATATTACTTCTAGCCTCAAATAACATCTCACACAGAACAAAAACTCCATTAGACGTTTATTAGACGTCAACAGTTCCGTGCAATATCTAATAGATGTTTAATAAAGTTTTTGTTCTGTATGGGACGCCATACGACATAAATACTTAAAACTGTAATATATTTTATACTTTTACTGCACTTTAAGCATAGATTTATAGTTCAAAGTTAGGGGAAAAGTGGCATAAAAGAGCCAGGTTTTATAAGAGCCATTTTCAATTATTCGGCAGTTCCTGAACGAATAATTGAAATTTCTTAACTTCTCACGGAAGTTTTAATTTTTATATAGCAACACTAGACGTGTTTCATCCACAAACATTTGACAGATTATTAAAAATAAATAGCGCTGGTGCATCGTATTAAAGATTTTGTTATTGAAAAGTAAATTTTTGGGTTTTATTTTTTTGTTTTTTAACATTTTTATGTAAAGAAATAATACAAAAATTATTATATCATGATTTTATATATATGTATATTTAGTCTCCTAATGTAATTATGCAAGGTTGGGTAGTGTCTAGTTAAAAAGATAAAAGTTAAGTTAAAAAGTTAAAAAGTTAAATAATTTTAACTTTATCTAGTTACAATTTTAGACTCTTATCTTTTAACTTTATTTAGTTATATTTTATCGGTAACTAGTAACTTTTTAT